TGCGCTCTGATTCACAATGCGACAATATATATATCCACGTGGCCGGCCTTGTACGTAAGAGGTGTTGAACAGGCGGAGCTTTCCTTCCTTACGTCTTTCCTTGTTTGTTTAGTCTTTTTTCGCCTTTGCGCTCCTATACACGGTGTGACTATATATATCATATATATATTGTCACCAAATTATCAGAGCGCAAAAGCGAAAAAAAAAAGAAAGAAAACAAAGAAAAATAAATTCATTTTTTTATCTTCTTCCTTACAACTCCCCCTGTGCAGAACCTCTTGCGTACAAGGCCGCCCACGTGGATGTAGGTTGAGCGGCGGCCCGCTTTATCTTCAAAATAGTCCAAAAAGCTATGCAGGTCATACTGGAGATGATCTACGAAGAGAAATTTATTGATTGCAGTCATGCTTTTCAGCCTGGTAGAGGCTCCGCCGCAGCTCTGACTCTTGCGAGCCTCCATGTAGGAATAAAAAAACACCAAACGTGGGCCATCGAAGGCGACATAACTAACTGTTTTGATTCTATAGATCACAACGTTATCATGCAAATTATCAAAAAAGAGATTGCCTGCTAGCGCTGGTGAAAGGGTCGCTTAAAGCGGGATACAAAACCAATGTAGGCAAAGTGCATATTTGCGCTCCGACGACTTTGTGTATATATTGTCACACTGTGAATCGGAGCGCAAAGGCGGAAAAAAGCAAAACAAGGAAAGGAAAAGAAGGAAGGAAGGAAAGACCCACCTGTTCATCACCTCTTACGTACAAGGCCAGCCACGTGGATGACAGGTTGAGCGCTGGCTGCCCCCATCCCCGTGTGTCACAAGGACCCACTTGCACGCAGCCAAAAGGCAAAGAGGTAAAGAAAAGGAGGAGGAAACCAAACCTCACAGAGGCAAGAAAAAGAGAAAGGGATCCAGTGAAAGAAAGGACAAGGGAAGAGGAAGGCAGGCATATTAGCCAAGCAAAGCAATTGACACATCCCTCAGATAAACCAAGTGCCACTGTCACAATAAACTTCAACATATTTTATATTTTTCCTTATTTTTTTTTTCTTTTTTTCTTTTTTTCTGATTTTTTTTCTTTTTTTTATATACCTCCTGATGAGTCGGTGAAACTCCGACGAAACAGTTTGTCACAGCCCCTCGTTTGTTGTCCTCTTCTCCCTCTCTGCCTTACGGTTTATCGGGCAGCTCTGTTTGACGATGGGACTCATTGGTGCAGCTGCCCAGTGGGAACTGTGGGATGGTGGGAGGATGATTCAGGC